ATTGCGGTCGGGGCAGGAAGGCGCAGTCGTGATGCTGGGGTATTGCGGTCGGGGCAGGAAGGCGCAGTCGTGATGGTGGGGATCGGGGCAGGAAGGCGCAGTCGTGGTGCTGGGGCATTGCGGTCGGGGCAAGAAAGCAGTCCGCTCAGCGCACTGCGCCGATTGACTCTCGCTCTCACAACGAGTCTCGTGTTATCGGCCATGACAAAATGCTCACATGACTTTTTGTGGACGTGATGGCGGTCTGGGACATCGAAGCCTGACCGTAAAGGCGGCCAGATACATGTATGGAAGTCCCCGGGACATCGAAGCCTGACCGTAGAGGCGTCCAGATACATGTATTATGGAAGTCCCCTTGTGAGTATGGCCTGCGTGAAGGTACCAGGGACTGAGCGCGTACATCAGTCAGGGACCAAGTTTCCTGGGCCCCTGCCCCGCTCACGGTGGCAAGAATGGGCCCAGCCAGCACAAAGCTTTGGCAGATCACACGCAAAGCGAACGGGGATCAAAAAGGGAAAAAAAAAAAAAAAAAAAATTCCCAGAAAGGAAAAGAAGAGGACGGGGATCGTGCGCACGACAGGGGTGCCGCCAGTGGGCCCAAGCGGAACCTACCGTAGGCGCAGGCTGATTTTTTTTTTTTTGAAATACCGTACCGTTGGGCCTGGCTGATTATACCGTAGGCCCAAGCGGACCTGTAGGCACCAAGCAGAACCTATCGTAGGTCAGTCAAAGCGGCTCAGCAGTGGCTTTACGCAGGCGGCTGATGAGGGCCCAGCTCGCTCTTCGCCTAAACGGCTTCCCTGGGCCAAGCAGTTGCCCTTTTCAGGGCTGATGAGGGCCCAGCTCCCCTGGGCCCAGCAGTTGCGGGCGGGCGGGCGTTTCTCGATAGAACGTTCGGGCCTGAAGGCCGCACCGACCTCTATGTCCCACTTTGGAGTAGAGGAACAGGGACCGCGAGCGCACCTATAAAGAGTGTTGGAGTTCGCGATTAGGTGGTGTATGGATAGGGTGTGTTGTTGAAAGAAGACTCGCCTCAAGCTCTCATTACACTCGGAGGCAAGGGGTAGGGTTCTCGTCCTTCTCCTCCTCCTCCTCCCCCCCTTCCTCCTCCTCTTCCTCGCCCGTCTCCTTCTCTAGGTCTATTCCTCCCTCCCTGCTCTCATGGAGTGCAGCTTGTTCGCGGCGTTCCGGCCGACTCTACCAGTGGTAGCGAGAGCCTCAAGCTGCTCTCACTTCCTACTACCTCTGTCCTTCCTCATCCGTTCGGCTATGGCGGACACACTCGGAGCTTGTCTTCCTCCGTGAATCTCGCGATTGAATCTCGTCCCTCTGCCTATCCACCATCTCTCTGGAACTCTACCGAGAATAGCATCTCTCTCTCCCTCTCTCTCTCTCTCTCTCTCTCTCTCTCGTCGTGTCGTGGAGCCTAAGGTGCGAGCTTGTTGCGTCCCCCGTGTCGTTGCCATCTCCATCGCAGGACCAGAGGTCCATAGCAACTCCTCTCTCTGTCTCTCTCTGTCTCTCTCTGTCTCTCTCTGTCTCTCTGTTGACGTCATCCATGTCTTCACCTTCCTCCCTCTCTCTCTCTGTTCGCGTCCTTGCTTTATGCCATCGTGTGTCGTACGTGCTCATGCTGCAAGTGGCCATGGAAGGACAAGAGTTTTGCGAAGCTCTGAGACGAGAGTCCCATAGGCCAATCCAGAGAACCCGAGTCCCAGAGCTAAAATGCCCAAGCGAAAATCATGCCACTGAGCGGAGCTGAAAACGATGAGATGTCCTGACCGTTGATCACTTCGTTACTTCGCTTGCTTGCTTGAAAATTTGCTCCTTGGATAGGTTCCTTGAGTCTAATAAGCATGATGCTCCCACGAAAGCAATCAGAATGGCAAAAGAACTCAAAGAAAGGTGCACATTAAAATTAAAACGTATACTCTTTGGTGCTCGTCTTGCAAGGCTCGTATAGGCAATTGGCGTTCTTTCGCTCTTTTTCTTCTTTTTTCTCCTTGTACTGTTTGGGCTTTTGCGCTCATCATTCAACTCATCAACAATTTTGGTTGTTGTCAACGTGATCATTGCACAGACTATCGTCGGAGGGCCATTACTGCGATCTGTCACAGGAGTCCAAGCACCATGGTGCGACCATTCGGAGCTATCCGCAGCGAACCGTAAGTCTGAATTCAAACGGTGCTAACAACCCTGAGCCCGTTCCCCCTTTCACTCAGGCTTCTCCTCCCACGACCTTTTGACCCCTCAAACCGGGCTGATCGCCCTTTGCTTCTTCCCCCCTCCAACAGACCCATCTTTACCCAGCCTCCCCTCCCCAACTTGTGGACCTCCTTTTAATTGCCAACTACACTAGTCTTTTTCAACTGTAACCCTTTCTCCCCAGTGGAATCACCTCGATCCCTCCAACCAGGATGATGGCCCTTTGCGCCTTTGCCCCTTCTCTCTCTTCTAGTAGGAAATGGCCCTTTGCGGCTTTGCCCTTTCCAGACCACTCCACTTATGAATTCACCAATCGACATATATCAATTAACCAATCCCTCAATAAATCACTCTGCCGATTTCAAGAGATACAAAATCAACCAACCCGTCGATCAATCAATCAGTCAATCAATCAATCAATCAATCAATCAATCAATCAATCAATCGATCAATCAATAACCAAGCAATCAAAAGTTGAACAGGGCATCAGTTTACCGTGCAAGCAATCAGCACGGCAGTCGATCTATGGTCTAGCCAATAAGTCCGGCAATCACTAGCCCAACTGATCTCGACCTAGGAGTCTAGGACTATGTGAGTCCTAGCAGCGTTCTGAGCTTGCTCCAACATGTGTGTAAGCCCATAAGGGCCATAACCATGCAGTGTGCAGACTCCCTCATGGTTATGATAGTTCACTGTTGGTTGTCAGGTTGGTGAAGTGGTTGGACAGAGGATTGTCTTTCTGTTGTCATGAGGAAGAGTTGTCACGACCATGGATGAAGAAATATTGACCATATGGATGATGAAGAGATATTGAGCATATAGATGATGAAGGTCGATGGTCAGGGGAACGTCTTTGCGATTGTTTTGATAGGTTCGGTGTTTGGTTAGATGTTTGGTGGGGTTAGCAGGGGGAAGAGGCTCATTGCCAGGTGTGTGTCTATTGGCTAACAACAACTGCAAATGGGCAAGTGATGCATGTTTGATGGCAAGGCAACATTGGGTTGGTTGGGTTAGCAGGGGGAGGGGTTCATGGCAAGACGTCGTGTATTGGCTGACAAGTGAAAATGGATAAGGGATGCATGCTTCAAGGCAACATTGGGCAGGTTTTGGTTGGGTTAGGAGGGGGAAGGGTTTAATTGCAGGGTGTGTATTGGCTGACAAGTGTCAATGGACAAGTGATTTTTATCAAGTGGCAACAATGATAGATGGGGATAACTCTCTCCAACCTGGCCATCTAGGATGTCCTGACACATGAGAGATCGGGATCCTTGTGAAAACCCACAAGGCCCAGGTAATTATCAACGCTGTTTTTTTGGATTTGATGACTCAAATTCGATGGGGATGCATGGTGTGACAGCAGGTCCGAGGAGACGGACATGGTCGACAACGAGATTGAGGAGGTGGAATCCGCTGGCCCGGGGCGAGCAACCCATCTTGGAGGTAATTCAACGAAAAACACTCCAAAACGCGTCATGGCTTGCGCCACTCTCCTTATACATTCTCAGCTCATTCCTTATCTTATACTGCCATCGGCCATGCATGTGAAAGACACGAACACATAGTTGTATAGCGAACGTGACAAGACACATCATCATATACACAGACGCATGACAACACACACACACACACACACACACACACACACACACACACACACACACACTCTGTGAAGGGAATGAGAGCTGGGGTCTTTTAAAACAACACACTCTGATAAGGTGATGACACACTTGCATAGCGAACATGACAACACACTCATCATACAAACAGACAGAGACACAAGCACATTGTCTGTAGCGAGAGACATACACACATCATCATTGTCACTTCCAGTCTTCCACACTCACACATGCACACACAGACACAAGTAGGGCACACAGGTGGGAAGGATGATGTCCTGCTCGTCTTGAGTTCACCAATGCTGATTATTACCGCCAACTCGACTGTACGTAGGCGACGAACAGTTGCTCCTTTTTTTCTTTACAAAGGATGCTGTCATGTTGTTGAGTGAGGAGGGCACTGTCTGCTTACGTTTCCTTTTTTTTGGATGTTGACGCTGACAAAAAAGAGTCTCGACGACTGTTTTTTTTTTTTAGGCATTCTAACTCAAGGACTGTATCCTGCATGTGTCTGTGTGGATATGATTGGTTGGATATGGTTTGCAGTGATCCGAGATGGACTGACCACCTGCAGGAGGAGACACCGGCGCGGCAAGAAGGGCGGGAAGCGCCGCAAGGGCCGCAGACGCAGAAGACGCGCCGCCCAGCCTGATGCTTAAGCGACAGCGATGTGTGACATGATGTGCCGGCCGGCCGCACTTGCCCCACCGAGTGCCTTCACTCCTTCCTCTGCACACACGTCAGTGACCATGTTGTGCCGTTAGATGGGGCAGATCGGTCGGCCGGCCATTTGAATCACAAGCGCTCATGCTGCCAAGCGAGGCAGCGAGATCCACAGTCAGCTACCAATCAAGCAGGATATTCCTCTCAGATGGGTGGGGGGTAGAACTCTCTCTCTCTCAGATGGGTGGCATGTCCCTGTCAGATGGGTGGGTGGTGATGCTCTCTCGAGTGACTGGTGCCTGAGCTACCTTGCGTTCGTCTGCGCGACCGTCATAAGACTCTAGTAATGGGATGATAATTTCGTCCGGAAGCTTCACAGCTTGCCACAGGGCCATCTTGGGATAATGATAATTTCCCACGTGCTTGCTTGTTGCTGACGGAAGATTACACGGAGCGTGTCTGTGTGACTGGGTTTGAGTGTGTCACTGGGTGAGTGCGTAGGTGAGTTGAATAAGGGCATTCAGATGGGGTGAGATAACCACTAGATTAGGTGGTAGTGAGTGAGTAGGCTGAGTGAAGTGTGTGGAGTGAGTGGATTTGAGTAGTGAATGGGTGGAGAGAGAGAGAGAAGGCAGGCAGGCAGGATGGGAGGTAGTGCTTGGACAGTGGGAAGGAAGGACTTGTTTTCATGAACTGCTTACTCACCGTTATTCTTTATTGATTGGTTAATCCATCTCGCCACCGGCATATCTGGCACATCTTTGCGTCATCTCTCCTCTCTATTCTCTCGTATTCTCTTTTTATTTTGTCCGCAATTTGCCTTTCCTTTGATTCTCAAATGTTGACAACATAGAGTAAGAACCCAATGTATGAATCTCTATTTTTTTTTTCATTTTTTTTTTTTTTGACTGGGCAACCCAATCAATACATAAAAGAATACATAAAAGAAATTGCAATGGTTTCTGCTTCTTTCATCAGATCCGATGCCATTAGCATAAAACCTGTCAATCCCCATATGGAATGCAGGCATGGTTATCATTGCTCTATCTGGCCTGACCATGGCTTCTGTTCAGCAGGAGACGGGCATGGTCATGGGGGTTTGAGGCGGGCATTGCGGCACCCGTCTCTGTTGATCTTCGTAATCGACGGTAAGAGATTAAAGATTTGGGTATGGGGAGGGTGCGAATGTGGGACAAATGGAAACTATCTACCAACAATGGCAAGCCCTCAGTAGCACCTGAGGAGTTCCACCTGTTTACAAACCAAAGCACATCTGTGTGCCTTTCAGCCTTTCAGGGTTACGGGACCTCTCCCAAATCCACCTACGCGGCACCCGTCTCTGTTGATCTTCGTAATCGACGGTAAGAGATTAAAGATTTGGGTATGGGGAGGGTGCGAATGTGGGACAAATGGAAACTATCTACCAACAATGGCAAGCCCTCAGTAGCACCTGAGGAGTTCCACCTGTTTACAAACCAAAGCACATCTGTGTGCCTTTCAGCCTTTCAGGGTTACGGGACCTCTCCCAAATCCACCTACCATCCACAGCGAACTTCCAAGGGATTATTGTTACTTTCCTTTTCTGTCGCCCGCTCCTGTTTATTGGTGGGGAGCATTACCCGCTGGAAATCGGCTCCACCATTTCTTTGATCCCACAGAACAGCCTTTGGCCAAGTAACACCAATAAGCTTCTCAGTGCTGTTTGCGTAACTTGCATTCCGCTTTTGCCTGCAGCAATGCAGCATTTGCTCTCATCTGGAGGAATGAATGCAGGCTTAGGCAGGCAACATGGACCTCTCCAGTACGTTTTCACAATGATGCAAGTGCACATTGGATCTCAGAACCAACGGAAAAAAGAAAAGAAAAGATGCAGAACAAAATCGAAGCAGCTTTAGTCCTATTGCGGACAACGAAGCATGCTGAGTCATTCCGACAATGAAACAGCTTTTTACCTCTATAGCAAGTAACATGGAGCACAACAAATCCGCCGAAATGCCTTTGCCACACTATGTTTACTTCGGTGGAGCACAACAAATCCGCCGAAACCCCTTTGCCACACTATGTTTACTTTGGCTTTCTTTGGGGTAACCCCTTCATTTGTTCTTGCAGCTCCCCTTTGCCTCTCATGTACGAGGCTGCTACATTGATTGTGGTTGAGCTCCAGCGGCCCACACCCCCGTGTGTGTTAACGCCACACTTGCACGTCATGAAAGGAGGCAGAGTAATGGGGGAGGGATACTCCTGTTCATTTTACCAGTAGTACACAAGGGACGGGAGGAAGGGAAATGGTTGGAGTCGGAGTTCTATGAGTGAGGAACAGGAGAGGCAGACGGGGATAGGGGGGAAAGTGGAGTGCCCGAGGACAGAACAGAGGTATGGCCAACTTCACTGTGTTCTAAAACTCGCCTCTGGAGCAGTCTACTCTAGAATGGCACAGGGGAGAGTCAGTGTTTGGGTTGCAGAAGATTTGGAGTTTGAGGAGCAGTTGTTGCCTATCATAAGTGACCACCCCTGCCAACTGGACAGGACGAGTTGGGGTGTGGACGCGTCCAGTTCTCGCAGTCGCAGTTGCAGTTGCAGTTGCTGCATCAAATGGATAACGTGGTGGCTCCTACATGCTAGGAACACAGAGCCATGCCTATTACAATTGTAGAGGCAATGCTGTCCCAGCCCGTCGACAAATCGAACATGACATGTCAGGTTTCCGTACATGAGTGCAGTGTCATCGTACGTATAAAGATAAAACCCGCATGGGCTATCCCTTAATCCTCACTTCACAAGGCTTGTGAACCACATGCTAGCTAAATCTCAGGTGGGTGGTCAGACTCGTCACAGTGCGGCATTGAGCAGGTTTCTTGGGTTTCTCCAGTATTTATTCCCTCTCTATGGGCAGACAACGATGGCGCTTGATCCAAAGCAAGGGTGTTTAGCTTGTGATAGGCAAAGTCCTGTCACCCCACAGCTTTCCATACCTTCCAGGTTAACCCTGAATGAAAGCCCCAAAGCACGGGACTCGGCCGTGACCAATTTAAGTGGGGGTCTGCAGTTTTTCTTTTCGCATAATTGCATGTAATTGCTTGATTCTCCCGGGTGGGAATCTAGAGTACTACCACAGCCGACATGCCCGGGGAATTTAGAGTACTACCACGGCCGACATGCACACCGCTTCCCGCTCATGCATGTGCACCAACTTCCTCTTATTGCTTTTTCTGAGCATTTCCTTGACTTCCTTGTCTCAAAGATTGGCAATTGGTCGGAAGATTGCATGTTTGTCGTATGCGGATTGGGCCACCAATCCAACCACTGCGCAATTCCCGCAATCTTGCGACCCCTTCTTTCTCTCTCCCCCTTCATCTTGTGGCGAAGATGATCGTATGATAATGTTGGTAAACGGGGCCGAGCAGAAAAAGATAAAAAAGTACCTTTAGGGGTAGAAGTCCGGTAGTGTCAGGCTATGAATCCCCCGCGGCCGCGGTCACCGCGGGCATGATCGCGGACTGCGGTCGTGACCGCGGGCCCGCGGTCATGGAAAAAAAAAAAAAAAAAAAAAAAGAATTCAGAAAAATCTGAAAAAATATGCCAAACAATAAACTGAACAACTTTTGCCTTGGGGTCATATCCAAAGTCGTTACCAAATTTGAGATAAAAAATAAACAAAATCCTTTATTTTTCTTACTAAAAAATAAAGTGAAGAACTTTTGCCTGAGGGATTTCTGTTTTTCCTTTTTCAAAAATCCGAAACGAAGTCAAAAAATGAAACTAAAATTATGAGGTTGTAGAGTGCAAACAAACCTACAACCCCATATTTTTAGTTTTTTTTTTGGCCCATTATCCTACGAATTAAAAATGTCGGGGTTTTCCGACCGCACTTGGCCGTGGGCGGTCGGCCCCTGCGGTCGAGGTCATGACCGCATGCGGTAAAATGACCCGCGGTCATGACCACATGCGGTAAAATGACCCGCGGTCATGACCGCGGGTGATACATAGGTGTCAGGTCTGCAATGACTGTCATGTTTCCCTCCGAAAGGGGTGGTTGCGTGTGCTGCTTGGTGTACTCCAGCAACCGTCCGTGAGGCTGGTTGCTATATATGTCCATGCTGAACGGAGAGTTCAGCCTCATTTGCCGTGGGCAAGTTCGGGCGTCACGCTGCTGGAGCGCCTGGAGGAGCGCCAATGTGCAGCACTGTGGGGAAGAGGAGTGTCCAGCCCTCCACCTTGGCTATGGTGGACGGGCTCAGGTTAGAGGAGGAGGAAGAAGGGGGATAAAGAGGGGAGTGCTATGGTGAACAGCATCTTCATCACGTTGGTAGGCGGTGCATCTGTAAGGTCCCAGTTGGGGTAGCGCTGCAACAAGAAGCTTTGAGGCAGAGTCAGGCATGCCGGCCTGAGCAGAGGAGGACATAGTTGCTTTGTGTTGTCTTTTGCTCGTCAGGGCGGCCATTAGGAGTCCGCCATAGTCTCGGCCTGAACGAAATAGGAGAGGAGGGAGGTCATGGCTATGGTGGAGCTCTTGTTCTACTGGCAGTAGAAGAGGGATTCAGATATTGATTCTGGTTCAGCCATTCATCGTTATTATTATTATGATTGTTTAAATAAGAGAAGCAGGAGATAACTAGGAAGAGATGGTTGGCGAGTGACGGGGGAATTGTCATTGGTCTTTGCTGGTGTCTTCTTCTTCTTTCTTTCTTTCTTTCTTTTTTCTTCTTTTGTCTCTTTCCTCTCTCAAGTTCATTCATTTCTTTTTTGCAATTGGACGGCATTGTATTTCCTTGTGAATTTACAATTCGACATTGGCCAGGATCGTAACATTGCTATCTGAGCGGGGTCTACTTGCTGGCGAGAGTTGACTTGGCCTGCCCCAACCCTAACTAAGCAGCTTAGGGCAACCACTTAGTTTAGGGTTGGTTGTGAGTTGAAAGTGAGGCAGTGTTGTATGGCCTAGCTGCCCCCAAAACCTGGCTGGATCGTGTAGGGTTTTGGACCTGGCCTAGTTGATGGAGTGTAAGTTTGGAGTGGCAACGAGAGTTTGTGAGATGCGACAGTGAGAGGCACTCGCACCTGGAATCTGGACTTTAGGGCAGACAATTCTGCATCGCAGGACTGCAAGTTGTCACTTTGGTCTTCAACATCAGCGGGGGATGCGGCATTGTACAAAGTACTTTTCCCAGCTGGCAGGGCCGTACATCCCAGCACGTTTTTGGCTCCACTTCTGGAAAGTACTTGTGGTTTAATGGCTTTCCTTTTCTTTCCACTTCTCAATTAATGTGTGTCATCCTTGTGCAGGGGGCATGCTAATCTTCCCTGTATCATTCCAGTTTAACGGATGTCCCAAGGGATTTCATGCTCATTCGAAGGGCAGTTTAATAGGGCTCTCACCACCGAGGACATTCTTCCTTGTGAATGAAACGGCTCTGGTATGACAGGGAGAAGAGGACAACGAGGGGCTTTTACAATGTTTTGTCAGAGTCCCACCAACTCATCAGGACGCTAAGCCCTCAGTCTGCAGAGCTACGTCTGCCCGTAGTGCAGACACGGCCCGTCCGTCCGTACGGCCCCATGGTTGACATACGAGCCGTAGGTACACCCCTTCCAGGGCCTCGGGGGGCGGGGTCTTTGAAATCCGATGGCAGGGGGGTGTTGTTGGAATAACGGTTGTCGAGCCCTGGCCCCGGGGGCCCAGTGGGGGTGCGGGGGTCCCGGGTTGGGCACCCCTGACCCCGGCTCCGGACCCCCCGACCCCAAAAAAAAACAAAAACAAAAACAAAAAAAAAAACAAAAAAAAAAAAACAGGGGGGTGCACAGCGGCAGCCTGCACCCCCTGGGCCGAACTGTAAAATTGCAGTTTTGGCCCCACCTCGGGCCACCCCCGGGGCTACACCCACCCCTGGTGATCCCGGGGTGGCCCTGGGCGCGGGGCCAGGGCAGGGCTTGAGCGTGGTGCGGGGCCAGGGATGGCTGGGAGCAGGGGCGGGGGTGCGGGATCTGTCTCTTATACACATCTAGATGTGTATAAGAGACAGGCTCTAGCCCACCCATTGCCAACATGGTATGCA